CTCTTTTACTTTTTCAAAGAAATAAAAGAATAAAATCGCTAAAAAAATTTAAAAAACTCAAACTTTCCCTACTTAATTATATATGTCCGGACGACGTTTCGGAGGTTCCGCTGGGCACCCCTCTTCAGCGCCGATAGTGCGACTAGTCAACGTAATACTAGTCAACAGCGGCGATAGTGTCGCACTATCGCTGCTGAAGAGGGGTGGCAGTGGACCCTCCGAAACGTCGTCCGGACAAATAATTAAGTAAGGAAAGTTTGAGTTTTTTGAAATTTGTAGCGATTTTATCTTTATTGAAGTGTACTTGCCTTGTTTTTTAGCCCTTTTTTTATCACCTCAACTTTATAAAGCCTGAAATCTTTTACAGGGTGTTCTGCCAACAGAGAAGAAAAACCAAGCAAAGTTTTTAAGAAATTACGTTGATTAGTTTTCCGAAGGAAAATTAACGTATGATAAGAAATCTGCGAGTCGCAATGTAGATACGTGGTTCTTGTAATTCTACCATCGGTATAGATATATTCAAGCTGAAGTTACTACTTTAACGCTATAATTGAATTGTAATTGAGTAATATAGAAAACATTTTAAAAAAGTCTGCATGTGAATGGTAGCTGCACTTTTATAAGATTTGCCAATGCGGTGGCTACACTTAAAGCACTCATCTGTCGTATTATGATGTACTTTTACGACTTCAATCAGATCAAAAATGAAAAACTAATTTGAAACTTCAACAAAAAACTTTTTTTAAGTGTCCTTATTAAGACATTGCGACTTGCGAGTGGTTTTATTCATTTTTGCTCTCATTAGAAACGTAAATATACATCAATATGCGGCAATTTTGTGCTCCTAGCGTGGCGCAGGAGAGTTATTTTCTCAAAGCTTGGTTTTTAGAGCTGAAGATTCAAACCGCCATGACTTTGAAATTGTTCAGCGTTTTTTGTCCCGATTAAAGATTTGCAGAGCGCTCCTTTTCATGTATGCTCCGACGGCTGAATTTCTAAATTTTGTGGGCCGAAGTCCCCTTTCCCAAGAACGATCAGCCTGGATCATTCTGTGGCGTATCAGCTGATTCCCTCCGGCCATTCCCGATTTCGCACGATTCAAGGATGATTAAACACGTCAACACAATGAGGATTTGTCGCGGGAACAAGATACAAAACCGAGGCGTCAAAGAGTTGAGAGAGGAGTCCATTGAGCCTGTGTCAACACAGTTCCTGCTAAACCGCACCGACAATCGACAAAGTGCTTCCCTGTGTCTGTGGGAGACGGATCCCTTGAGTGACCTGTGGCTCCCGAGGGCCGCAGACCCCTGCAGCTTGGGTCCGCGAACCCTCCAACGATGATTGTGTTTTGATAATTTTCGCCTTCGACACCGCGGGAGGCTCATATGGATTGCATTTTGCAAAAAAGAACCAATAGCATTGCAATGTTGCTAAGATTGTGCAACTTCTTTTGTATTGGAGGAAAAACCCGATTATCCATTCATAGTTTCTATTTTACTCGCTAAAAACTGTAAATTTAAGACAAAAATTACCATCTAAATTTCATAGTTTTTCACGATTTCCGCAATTTTATTGCAAAAAATGAAGTTGCACAATCTTAGCATCATTGCAATGCTAGTGGTTCCTTTTTGCAAAATGCAATCCATATATACTGCCGTGTTGAGGAAAAACGCCGCATGAGCCTTCAGGCGTTGCCAAATTTCCTTCGACAAATCACGAATTTTCCCCAACTTTTTTTAATATTATAATTCCAATTGTTCAGAGAATTTTCTTCTTAATTTGATCTGAAGAATCTGAAAATTTCAAGGAAAAAAATGTGTAATTTTTCTTCAAAAATAAATATTTTCTAGGAAGAAATTTGGCGACTTTTGAATGCACGTACGGTGCTTTTTCCTTAGCACGGCAGTATAGGTCACAATAAAATATCACGAGTAGTGATGGTTTGACGACCATTGGATTCGTCGCTACTCCGGAATAGATCGTAATCGATACATCAAACAGGTGAGATTGTATAGATATCGATTGGTGCAACATGTAAAAATAGCCTCAAAAGTCAATTTAGAAATCCGAGGGAATGGAGGAGAATCTTTTAGAATCTTTTTTTTTTTGTAATAATCGCGCGGTGCAGAATTGCTCCCTCTTTTTGCATGGCCGGCTCCGATTCAAGGGATGTATATTTGCACGTTTTTTTCTTCCCAATGACTGCTCTGAGTACTGGCTTAAAAGGGTCGTCAGAAAAATGATTCTAGAGAAATCAATGCAAATCTGTCTCATAAACAATAGGTAGATCATGCGGTAAATGCAGGATGACCCCATCACTTTAATAAATCAAATACTATTTTTTCGATACCGCACTGTTCGATGCTACGGGTTATAATACCTCAAGAGAGGAAAAACGTTACTCCCAGCATCTATTTTTGTTGTCGGCCGATTACGGGTGTATCGATTGACAGGCTCGCGTGACATTGTTTTTTGCGGACATACTTAGCCACACATGCCAAGACTAAAAAAAAAATCGAAAGCGCCGTTGTCAAATCTTGGATGATAAAGGTGATGGTTTTCTTCGCATCGGTGTGAACCAGAAAATTTTCAAGCTGTTAAGTGAAAAATCCTAAAAACTACCAAAAGTACTGATAAAACAGTTTTTCACCCATATATTAAAGGATGGCAAGACTTCGCTTGAAAACTTATGATGTAGGTTGATTTCTCTCGTTGGATTCCATTCAAAATTGTATTATTCAAAGAATCTGGCAATGTGAAACAAGAGGTGCGTTTGAGAGCTCGTCTCTCAATCACTCACTGAAATGTAAACAGCAAATCGGCTTAGGTTACGACCTTAATGCGGCAACGCGCCGATTTCTGCTGAGTCCAGACCGATTTTTTTGTCTAAAACATGAAAACCTTGCCTTTAGACCTTCGACAATAACGTCACTCTGACTTCCAAAAATTTGGAATTTTCATCAGAAATTTCATTTGGAATTTTTGTCACTTACTCGGCTCTTATTATTCAGGTACATATTCCTGGGCGTATACATATTCATATTTTTAAAACGGACTATTCTTGATCATTTTAATTCGAATGTTAAGAAAAAAAACCTTGGGTTATGGGGGTAAAAACGGTAATTAAAAGCTCTAAAAAGTTTCGGCTGGGAATCCAAGGAATAGTTTGAAAAAAAAAAGCTTCAAGGGTTTTTTTCTTAAAAAAACAAAGGGATATAGGTATGCAAAAGTAGAATATATGAATCGTGCGGTGCAGGGTAGGTGGTTTTAATATTAGGGTATAGATTAACATTAGGGTATAATATCATAATAATAGAGATTAAAGGTAGGAACGTATCGCCTTCAATCCAAGAAATAATTTCACAACCTCGCTCAATGCTGCTATATAGACAAAAAGTATACAATATACTTATTATGTTGCATATAAGCGATAAGCGTGACGTATGGTTTGCTTCAACTACATATCGACGGTCAAACTCGCAAACCTCGTAACTTGTTTGCGGAGTTTAAAAATCTCAGCTTACATTTTATTTATTCTTTTCAGAGAGAAAGAATCAACTTCATTTCTTGAAGTTCTCAAAGAATTTGCTTCGCTCAGAGAAGAAAAATCACGGAAGTTTTAAAAAACTGACGTTGAGAATAGTTCCCCGTTTGAAAAATAGAAGAATGATAGAAAATCTGCAACGCCGCAAGCCGAGATATGATATGCGTTCCTGCAGTTTCACCGACGATATAGTACTAAAAGCCGTTCTCGGAGACTTAAACGCCTCAGTAAGAAAAACAACGCGATGGATTCGGAGTACTTTCGAGAAAGATCTTATCAGCATAATCAAAGAACGTTGAATTGGCTCAAAATTTTAAGAGTGGTAGATTGCGATAGCAGAAGGAGTGTATAAATAACTCCATCGGAAAATTTTTCAAAACGCATTTAACTGAGTTCTTAAACGCACAACTAACGATGAGCGTAACTCGATAATTCAGTATAATTAGTCATCAATAAATGAACGATTTTGATTCTTTGCCGTGAAATTATCGTCAAAATGTGTTGTCTTACGAAACTGATGCGAGACAAGAGTGTTGTTTCTGGTCTAAAATTAAAGGATGTACGTGCAGTCTGTAATGATATGGTATGCTAAAACAACATTCACGGGATTGAATAAAGAAGTATATCATACAATAAATTATTTGGGCGGACTCTCCGTTCGAAGGGATACATCCTTCCTCTTCTACGCCTCCCCCCCCCCCCCCCCCNGAAACCCTTACCTCCTCATTGGCGTGTTCGGCTTGCACCTATAGGTACCTAAGGGGCTAAAAGCGTGCATGTTTTGGAAAGACGCGTCGAAAAGTATAGAATTTTAATATTTCGACTAAAAACTATTCATATATTCAAGACAAATTTACGATTTTTTTTAAATTTAATTTTTTTATTTTTTTTATTTTTTTTTTATGTTTGTGCCGCAATACTGTCGTGCTGAGAAAAAACACCGTATGATCATTGAAATGTTGGCCCAAATGCCCAATGTTGGCAATTGGATGGAAAGTTGAACGAAAGAGTTGGAACGAAATCTTCCGACCGACATGAACCGAAGCTGTATCTTCGCGCACCGCAGTCTGACGACGATATTACACCGCAACGGTAATTGAATCAAATTTTTTTGCGTCCAACTTTCCATCCAACTTTTCGTTCAATCATGTCGGATGAAAAGTTTGATAGTGTGAATTGGGCTTTAAAGTGTGCGAAACTACCAGTGGGTACGGAGCGTGTAGAGGCCAGGGGGCGTCGCCCCCTAGCGCTGATATAGCTGCGAACAGGAATCATTCCATTTGTAGTCGTAATCTCTGCTTAATCCCATCGTAAACATGGGACACGGGGTTTGAGGGGGTCGAGGGGCTGGATACGAGGTGCGCCATGTCGCAGACTAATCGGAGACCGAAGGGGGAGGAGCGTCACGCCCTCTCGTTGTCACTCTGGTGAATCCACTTCTTCCTCCGCGCAACTCGCCAGTTGCTCCCCGATCTCTGCTACGCCCAGCGCACGCCGCTCCGTCCTATAACAACACACGTCCCCCCGTATGTACCTCGAAAAAATACGGGTTTTTTTTGTTCAAATTTTGTGAAACCTCGAAGTGTGAAATTTAGCCGCGTGATGCGTATTTGTTTTCGTTTTTCCGTTTGTTCTACGTCGAATTGACTTTCCGGAGTGCGTTTCTCGACGTGAAAATCTATTTCCACGCGGATTTTGTGGTGCGTTTTGAACTTGTTGACCTAACACGACGTGTACAGTGTTGTTGAATTTATTTTTTCCACGCAGTTTCCATTAGTTTTGCTCTATATGACTGAAATATTTGTCGTACCTCTAAATCATTGTAAGTGGGCCTTTTTAGCGGTGTTTTCTAAGTAAGCGGGTAGTTCCGCGATTGTTGTAGGGGCGAATAACTCCCTCCGTTTTCCCAACAGCCCACCGTCCGGTGTCCTATAATTGTGCGTTTTTCGCTGTTTTTTCTACTCGCACTTTCAGGGAAAAATCTCCTTCGTCATATATCAATTGTCTATTTGAGTTAGGTGTGATCTCTCCATTAAAAACTTTCCTCCAAGTTTATCGATTTTCCATTAGTTTTTCTATTATTTGGCCAATATGAAAAAAGCCAGATCCTGACCATGGCAAAAATGAACTGACCCTCGGCACGCTCTAAAAACAAAATGTGAAATTTCCGGGACCCCTCAAACGTCTTTCAGTGCGCTTTATCAATTAACTCTGACCTCATTTACTTGTGCACGAGCTCATGTTCCCTCATCACCCAGACTTCCATCCGCGGTATCGGAAGATGGAGTCCTCCTCTCCGAGCAGCTGCATGGACCAGTTCGCTTCCTCGCCGGACACCTCAACGATGACATCACGACTGGCCGAATCGGAGATCCCCCTTGACTGTCTGCGGAACCGGCGACGGAAACCGGACTTTAACTTCAACAACGTGCCGTACTTGGTGAAGCACGAGGAGTACAACACGACGACGTACAACAAAACTCCGTCGTACAGCAAGCCGCCGCCGTTGTCGCGAGTGACGTTCTCCCCGGAACAGATCTCCTGCATGTGCGAGGCCCTGCAACAGGCCAACGACATGGACCGTTTGGCCGAGTTCGTGTGGTCCCTGCCGGAGAGCGAGCAGCTCAAGGGGCAGGAGGCCGTCTTGCGGGCCCGCGCCCTCATCGCCTTCAAGAAGGGCCAATTCAAGGAGCTCTTCGAGATCCTGGAGAAACACGAGTTCAGCCCGAAGCACCACAAGAAGCTCCAGTTCCTGTGGTACGAGGGGCACTACAAGGAGGCCGAGAACACAAGAGGAAGAGCGTTGTGCGCGGTGGACAAGTACCGGCTGAGGAAGAAGTTCCCGCTCCCGATTACCATCTGGGACGGAGAGGATACCGTCTACTGTTTCAAAGAGTCAGCGAGAAAAGTCCTCAAGAAGTCCTACATGACGAGCCGCTACCCCACTCAGGACGAGAAGAGACTCCTCTCCAACGAGACGGGGCTGACCATGGTCCAAGTCTCGAACTGGTTCAAAAACAGACGGCAGAGGGATCGGCCGCCGGCGAAATCGTGAGTACTTTATTATTCATTCAGAGGCTGTTCAATTATCATGTAACGCACTTATGGGGAGGTGGTTTGAGCCAGCGTTACGGTGCGTCACAAAGGGGAGAAGGGGGGGGGTCAAGCCCAGCGTTACGTAACAAATCTGAGCCGCGAGGAGGAAAATTTTGAAAAAACGTGCTATTCAAACTGAAGATCCCGCCCTTCCCGAATGAATTCAAGCCGTTTTATCAGCGTTTTTCGAGTTTTTAAAAAATGGGGAGGTGGAAGGGGGGGGGGTTAGGCCAGCGTTACGTAATTCAAACTGGGGGATGTAGGACTGCGTTACGGGTGCGTTACAAGAGGAGACGGGGCTCAACCAATCGGAAAAAGTGCGTTACGTAATACTTGAACGGCCCCCAAAGGGATTTCTTCTCTTTGGTCATTCCTCATTTGAACGATGCATATGAGTGCCATTTCAGTCGAGTCTCAAGAGGAGAGGCAAAAGTGTTCAGAAGCATTCATACTTTTCTTGGGAGGAGGATGGGGGAACTGGGGGCTAACTGGGGGCGAGGGCTTGGCCACCCAGAAATCTGCTCGGTCCCCCTCATAAAATGCGCATGGGATTTTGCTGAATATTAGCGTACCATATCTCTCATCTTCGAAATCGTATTTCATGCAATTTTTTGTAAGAATAGGCAGCTCAAAGTTGCTTGTTAGAGTGATCAATTTTGAAACACTTTTCCTAGGAGACCCCACTGCTAAACCCTTCTTTTTGGATGTTAAGAAGTTCCTGCAAATTCCCCTTCGCTGCTCCCCTAAACTCTTTTTCATGTCTTTCTTTGCCCCCCCCCCTCCGTGGCGTGACGTAAAATAAAGGGGATGCTGCCATGTGAAACGGGTTTTTTGGAACACCCGCCAGCGTAGATTTTATCGTCTTGTAGTCTTTCCAAAAGTCCCTCCAACTCTACTACTGGCCGCACGATTTAAGAATTGAAGGTATTGAGGACGAAAAATTTTAGTGAAGATAGAAAAAAAACTGCCACAGCTGAAAAATTGTCACTAGTACTTTATGGGTACACCTTATGGCGTATTTTATCTACAAGATTTGGGTGCATGCCTCACTGGATTCTAATCTGACCATAAGTTGATGTATATATCTGACTGAACTTCTTTTTAACTCAACATGCGATGAACCCAATGTCACTACCAAACTTCTGAAACTCTTTGCCTCCCTTAATTTAAAATAATCTAAATTTTTGTATTTACACCCATCTTCCAAATTCTTTGTAAAGACGTTAATAGCCTAAGGTTCTGAACGTCTTCAAATAAATTAACTAAGAAACTAACTTTCTCCAAAACAAATATGTTAGGATTTTAGAGGGACAACGTTGTAATGCATTTACATCACAATAATTGAAGCATTTTCCGAAAATTGACAATGTTACGGTAAAAATCAGTATTAGTTTACTTAATCGTTGCAATGTGCGACACTGGAAGTAAGTTGAGGCGTGAGAGAAAGGAACAAAGTGACGAACACCAAGCGAATTTGATCACAACGCCTGGATGCAACTATTCGAGCTCAATGGATGTCCGTGTTGCATAAGCACGGAAGTTAAGGCGTTTTGACTCTCAGCGCACTCACCACCCACTACTGTATCTGGGGCTCGGCACGTCAGCGGGTTGTGCTGCGAGAATCTAAAATGACAGGGCGATCTCAATTTTTCGTCAATAATACATATGCTTTCACTAAGCACGGATAGTTGCACACATGCGTATAAGATGTGAATATCTTCTATGTCTCAATTTTGCTTTGGCGATGTGCTGGGCACGATTTGTATATAGATCAACTATTCGTACCTAAGAATTATCTTCATTATATAAACGAAGAATTAATCGCGCTCTGCCATTTTGGATCTTCTCAGTTCAGCCCGCTGCGGGTGGAGTGGTGAGTGCCAGCAGAGCCGAAACGCCTTCATTTTTGTGCGTATGCAACACGGACATCCGTGGAGCTCGAATAGTTGCATCCAGGCGTTGGAACGGAATTCATTTCGTGCTCGTCGCATGCGATTCTAGCCGAGGGTGACGGTGCTATACTTGTTTCTCCTGCACCTCAACTAAATTTCAGCGGAAATCAAAGTATAAAAAATACTACGATATCAGCTTTTTAAGCACTTTCAGAAGAAAATAATGAAATATTTGCATGCGAATTCTCCAATACTTGTTTCATTCACAGTTGGCCGATATTTTATTCCCGTAATAGGGTTTACATCCTCCTCTTTTCATATTCTCACGGTAAATCACAAATTCTCAGAAAAGGGAAAAATGGACTTGGAGGCGATTTGCACGGAGGCGGTTGACTCGGTTAGACAATGACTATTATGCAAACGTATCGTCGGGGCACGTTAAAATTGCATTTTCTGCACACATTTTTTGCCGTTCTGCAATTTTATGATGACATAATGACTAAAGAAAGCGCCTTGCGGGTAATTTCAAACATTGACGACAATAGGAACAATCATGTGCACGCGTTGAGATTTTTTTGTGGGTGCGCCGGATATGGAAAATCCTGATCATTCAGAAACTCGAAGCGCCAAATTGCCAGTCAAGGGCTTGTTTTGTCCCGAGTGATATGCATAAGAAGTTGAATATACTCTTCCCGCGAAGTTATTCCGCTATCACAAGGTGGATTTAACTCCTTGCTCAAATCATGCCTCAATTCGGGTTTTCTGGATGCTAAATAGGTTTCGGAGCCTAGAGTAGAATGAACTCCAGATCCTAATGCGGCATATCCAACCACCCAGTCCTAAGCTCTACCTTGAGTGGAAGTTGTAAAATTAGATCGGATATCATTCTATCCAGAGGATTCGCTCACCCAGCTTTGCAAAATTTTTCAGATTTCCACTATTTTTTCCAGAAATTAATAGGTACACTGCTTTCAGCAGACAATTCGGCATCGCCGTTTGCACTTGCGTCGCTCTTTTGACACGAGGGTATAACTGCTTTTCGGGTTAAGCCCTGTTGTCCATGTACCTCAATGCGTCTCAGGGCTCATGTAAAACTAAAGATACGCTGTTACGATAGAAACGCGATGATATTGAACTTATTTATGTCATAAGGACCTATGTACACAGGGTTTGCGTGCGACATAGTTCCTTTCAGCATAAAAACATCCATGTGCAATGTGTATAGCACCATGTAATAGGAGAGGAGCTCGAAGAACTTGGCTCAGGTATGCACTTCTGTCATCGAATCCGAAGCAGAGCAGGAGATGAGTTTCGATGATGAGCATGAAGAGAAAATATCCAGGTGGAAGAAAGGCTCTTTGAGATTGTTTTATTATCATCTTTAACTTTTAATTCTAAAGTAACTCTATAGCTGAAGGAGGAAAAAATTACTTTTTTCTGGTAAATACCCTACAAATTATTCCAGTGCCAGTGGTCTTAAGTAATACAGGGTGTACCAAAAGTCCGTCCCACCCCTGCTAACTTTTGAACGAATTGAGCTAGGGTAATGAAACTTTGGGAATGTTCCTATCTCAAAGGGGACCATCTATTGGGGGGGTCAAAATTTTGGTCCCCCCTCAGGGGGGGCGCGGGGGGCCCCCAACTTTTTTTTTTCAAATAGCAACCCCTATCTTGTGATACATCATTCGATAGAGCATAAAAAACTAAGAATTTTGGCGCAAACCGCAGATCAATATCTTAATTTTTGACCGAGTTACGATAGGTCAAAGGTCAAATTTGACCTATTTTCAAAAAATCATAACTCCGGTTCAAATTATCGTAAAGAAAAAAATAAAACGGGAAAATTTACCAAATTGTGTCCGCTTTTAAGTAAAAATTGCAGAAATCACTTCGCTGTAATTTTAAGGGGGGGCTCGGACCCCCAAATACGTCAATTCAAAGGTCATTCAATTTTCCCGCGAAAAAAGGCAATTTCCCCTAGATTTGCCTCCACATTATCTCAGTAAGGTCAAAATTAGTTCAACATTACGTTGGCAAGTCCCCAAATTTCGGGAAAAGTTAAAAAAAAAAGAAATTTAAACGGTCAAATTTAATCACCATAAATTTCGTTTTTTTAACTTTTCTTGAAATTTGGGGACTTGCCAACGTAATGTTGAACTAATTTTGACCTTACTGAGATAATGTGGAGGCAAATCTAGGGGAAATTGCCTTTTTTCGCGGGAAAATTGAATGACCTTTGAATTGACGTATTTGGGGGTCCGAGCCCCCCCTTAAAATTACAGCGAAGTGATTTCTGCAATTTTTACTTAAAAGCGGACACAATTTGGTAAATTTTCCCGTTTTATTTTTTTCTTTACGATAATTTGAACCGGAGTTATGATTTTTTGAAAATAGGTCAAATTTGACCTTTGACCTATCATAACTCGGTCAAAAATTAAGATATTGATCTGCGGTTTGCGCCAAAATTCTTAGTTTTTTATGCTCTTTCGAATGATGTATCACAAGATAGGGGTTGCCATTTGAAAAAAAAAAGTTGGGGGCCCCCCGCGCCCCCCCTGAGGGGGGACCAAAATTTTGACCCCCCCAAAAGATGGTCCCCTTTGAGATAGGAACATTCCCAAAGTTTCATTACCCTAGCTCAATTCGTTCAAAAGTTAGCAGGGGTGGGACGGACTTTTGGTACACCCTGTATATTGGTACTAAACCTTCCAATTTTGGTAGGTTGGGGTGAGGGGACTGACGATATGCTTAAAGGTGATTCGATGGACGCCATATTTTGTGTCAGAACGGCATGCGATGTATCGCATCAATTGGTTCCATTCTTTCAGCTACTCGTCATTTTTCTCCAATTTTGAGATCGCAATTCTGTTGTCAGGAGATTAAAGCACTCACTTACCAATTTTAACAAAGAAATTCAACGTAAGAAAGGCGTGGTTTTTTTTAGAGAGAAAACATCGCATTCGATACTGATATCGAAACTACACTCGAATGCGATATTTTCTTTCTAAAAAAACCACGCCTTTCTTACGTTGAATTTCTTTCTTAAAATTGGTAGGTGAGTGC